CTAAAAAACAAATATCTATGACGTACATATCATGATTTCGCTGGAACATTCTAATGACAATTTACTTGAGTAAATCGCTTGTGTTGGCTTCTATTGTGGATACTTCGATGACATTTGAAGATTAAAAAATTATATTTATATTTAATTAGTATTGCCTTGTAGAGAAACTCAGGAGTGCATGTATTTTGTCTCACTTGAGACACGTCATCTGAACGTACCTGCATCCTCAGTCAATGAATGAGTGATTTATTATTTTGACTGTGACTTCAAACTGTTCTGCATCTAAAATTATTCGTACTGGCTAAAGTAAAACAACAATTTGGGCAGAATAACATGGCACCATCGTTTATTTCTTCAGCTTCTTACCAGCTTTTTTTTCCTTCACGTTCCCAGTGGAACATAAGGCTTCAAGCTAGCGGCTTGAAGTTTCTGTAGCAGCGTTTATTTTACAGGAAGGAGTTGCTAGCCTCATGTCCAACCTTTCCTCTTTACCAGATTATTTCTGGCTCAGTGAGGTAAAGCAGTGCGTCGGCCGGGGATCGAACCTTGGGCAGTGTGCATGGTCGGCGAGCATCCTAACCGCTATACCACCGACTCACTCACCTGAGAGTACTGGACAGCTGTTTCGTCCTAGTTTGAGACTCTTCACCAGTACGCACCCACCGGGGTTCGAACCCGGGACCTTCTGGTTAAAAGGTGGGCTCGTAGACGATTGAGCCACTGAGCTCCATAGGGACTAAAGAAATTATAAGTTTTATATACAGAACAGTCAACAGGAGATAGAAGAATAGAACTTGTGCACTGTGGTGGCAGAGTCTAGTTTTATTTTGGATAAAATTTATTTTGATAAAGTCTCACACAGTGTTATACGGTGAGTAATATTCACTGATGACTATGTTTTGAGCACAATTTATTACTGCTCATAATCATACGTGGGTGACACATTCAATCACAGTGTTAAAAACAGAACATATCTCTTTCTAGTTTCTTCACATACACATAAACTCACTGCTTAAGGGAATAAAATTCACATTTGAATTGGAAAATGAACAAGGAAAATTAGGTATGTTGGATTGAAAAATAAAACGAACGGGGGAGGGTGAAGTGTACACTAGCGGGGTTTATAAAAAACCAACGCATTCTGCGAATAGATATTCAGACTTTAATTCATTTGATCCGCTAACTGTTAAGGCAGGCGGCTTAGTTAGGTGTCTAACAAACCGATCAGTAGCACCAAGTAGTACAACAAAACACCTAACCGATGAAATGAAACAGACAGAACAAGAAGAAGCGTTGGTGTTAAATAACTAACTATTCTATAAAATTCATTAGGAATATTAAAAGACGTCAAAAGCAAAATAAAAATAATGGTGAAACTAATGATAATATAAATAAGAGAAAATATAAGGCATCTACAGTAGTTAAACTATATAAGGAGAGGGTATATGGGATCCTCCCTACGTAGGATTCTTAATAAAGCAGGAATTAGAGTGGCATTGAAACCTACAAACTCACTCATGTAGGATGAGTTCTGTAGGTTGAAGGACCCTGTGGGTTGACCCAATTGAACAAAATAATGTAATTTACAAAATACCTTGCAGTGACCGTAAGGCCAACTACATAGGTCAGACTAGTAGATCGGGGCTATTCAGATTATTAGAACATAAGGATTTGGTGGCTAAGGTCAAAATGGTTGACCCCACGATGACAGATGACTAATTTAGAAAGAAAGTCAGATATTGCACTGTATGCGTTAACACACAATAGGGTGGATGAGAGTCCAAATTCTAAGAAGCGATATATTTAGGTGGAGACAGAGATTGATTACTGAATCCTTGTTCATCGAATAATCTACACCCAACACATGAAACAGAAGTGACTCAACACAAATACCAGAGATATGGAAAAAAAGACTACCAGTCATCAAGTCAAGAGATGAGATATAATGGAATCAAATAAATGAAGTTAGAAAGTTGTGTAAGTGTGTACCTTGATATGATATTATGAGCTGCAATGATAATCTGTGCTCAAAACATGGTCATCAGTAAATATTACTCATTGTATAACACTGTGGGACTTCATCAAAATAAATTTGATCCAAAATGGAGTGAACAGTGCTCAGAATATTCACCTATATACCTTAATTACTCACAAATTAAGTAGCAATGTGCTGAGTTCAACTCAAGTCATAGAGATAAAAGGCAAGCAAAAATACATTAATGCAAAACGGAGATGTATAAAGTCGAATATTACATAGTCAAAATAAAAAGTAGGTGAAGACATCCTGTTAACAGGGTAAGGAAAGACTGATGACCGTTTCTTCTTTCTGAACACATTAATCGGACTTCCCGCGTTTGAGTGCAGCTGGTTCGACAAAACTCGGAAGAATTTAACTATATCACCTATTGATAAATTGGAAAAATTCTACAGCGTTCACCTCTTTATGATTCGTATAAGCGTGATGTCTGGCAATAGCTACTGCAGATGCATGTGAATTTGTGTACACAACTGGAACTAACATATGGAGGGTATCTGCTCAACTTTGATTTCACCAAAAAGCATTTTTTTCGATAAACGGGAAGCAGTTTAACTGCAGAATGAATTCAGTTTAGCGTCGACTATTCGATTTAAGTGAAGATGGACTTATTTTCCACTCTCAACCTTCATATCCTGCGTACTTTTTCGGCTGTACACAGCTGATGCGAAGCCGACGAAACAAAATAATGGTACCATTATATTCTGTAGAAACTGTAGTTTCTGCTTTATTTAAATTCATGAAAAGAAGGATAACTATACAAAGTTTATAAGTATTGGGGTAGAGTCTCAATAGGAACTGAATCATTCATTGATTGAAAATGCAAGTGTACATCTAATAGATGAGGCTCGACGACAATCAATCAAAGAACATTCACCAAAGAATTAATTTATTTGTTATGAATTTTTAAGAAATTAAATCAGAAATATACATTTAAAAAGAATTTGTTCCCTTTACGAATTCAGACAAAGCTATAAGATGACGTAATAGGTCTGAGTCATGAGTCTAATGTATTTGCTCACCGGTTATTTCGAACAATCTGAACACACGAACATGTCGTAAGAATATATACGTGTGAAAACAATAGAGGGTTAAGAGGTGAGAAAATACACTAGGGTCAAGTTTAAAGAAGGTCAAAATAAGAATGAAGATCACTAAACCAAAGAAAGGAGGTAACATTACATCTACCCTGGCCGACTTAAGAACAAAATTTACCAAAAAAAGTGGTTTAGTGTGATGATGACGAATTGTTGCTTTGAACGCATAAAAATGGTTTAAACTTTCTAATTGCAAGCTAGGGCTTCCACAAACTAAGGATACGCCCTCCCCAGACACGTTCTATAGATAAGTTTAAAAGACATGTGGAAACATCAGTTTTGTTCCCTTTCTCTATAGTATGTTTCGCAATAGACGAGTTACGTCACCTTTGCTCACCACCAATGGGTTCTGAAGAAATTTATGAATGTGCTCTGAAGGTAGTCTTAACCTTTAGAGATCGATTAGTTCTCACTTCTAAATATGTGTCGCCACACGTGCATTCAAACTGGTAAATACAGTGGATGTGACATAATTTTTCGCAGGTTCTTAAAGGCTTACATGGATGGATATATTGGCTTCACATTCCCAATCATTATGATTTTAGCTGTATAAAAGTTCTTTTAACCACAGCGTTCAATCGTTGTCGAGTTACCGAGCTGCTACGACCACCCATATAATGTAGCTTGATATATATTTATTTCTTAGTGGCGACTGAAAGAGTAGGTCTTGGTATTCTGCCTATGTTACATCTCTTAATTAACTTTTCTGGATAATTATTGCTAACCAGATTTTGTATCAATTTTCTTTCTTGGTCACCAGTAAAAGTGAGAACAGACGACCTACCTACTCTATTGTGAAACATACTACAGAGGAGACAAGACATAAAACTGATGTTTCCACACGTCTTTTAAACCTATCCACAGAAGGTATTTAGTGGAAGGCGTATCCTAAAGTTTGTGAAAACCCTAGCCGAGAGTTAGGAAGCTTAAACCACCTTTATGAGTTCAAAAGCAGTTCGTCATCATCACACTAAGCCAGGGTAGATGTACTGTTACCTTTTTTGTTTAGTTTTTGGTGATCTTCATCGTTATTGTGACCTTCAATATGTCTTTTTAACTTGACCTGTGTTTGTTTCTCACCTCTTAACTTTCTATTAATTTCCTAAAAGAATGGTTACTGAACAAAGAATATTCTTTTGATCGATAACCTTCTAATCGTCATCAGCTTCTACAGTTATGTATCCATGCATAATAGTGAATGAATGAATGAATTAGTGCTATTAACAACAACATTAATGCTTTTTAAATAGCATCGAATGAATAATAATTAATAATAACGATGGATTACAGTTCGATAGCATCAACACAACAATACGCTGAATATCAGAAAAATTAGGAAAAATAATAATACAAATTTATGAATTTATAGTCTTCACTGGAGGCCATCCAGGGCATTAGTAGTTGCTAACTGAACCTGTTTCTTCTGAGAACACAGACAGAGCGCTTGTTGTTTCAGGCGGATCGCGAGTGGTTTTGGAATTTATATGGTACGCGATAGGTGATGATGGAGAATGATTCTTCAATGCTGGCTTTGTGGGTGGTCGGATTTGACCAGGTTTTCTAATATAGAAGTGTGGATGGTTTTTGCCACAACTTTACTTAGCCACACTTTTAGATATTCCTGAGGGAGCACGAAAAATCAAGTTCCTAGAGAAACAGCCAATATAACTCGCTCCACCACAAGCGCAGTTGAATTGGTAGATGCACTTACAAATGGCTAGGTAGTCTAGGTACTTCACCTTTCAGTCGAATAATCCAATCGGTCATATGTGATCAGACTATTTTAGAAATTAAATCAAGATATATATATATATATATATATAATAATCATTTCTCTGATCATTTATCGATTTCATTTCTAATTTTAGATTATACCGTTGAAGAGTTAACTATACAAAATCGACGTTTACGTGAATCCAATGAACGTTTAGAAAATCGATTACAGTTGATTGTACAAACAGTGAATGAATTAGACTTGCTATATCATTCAAGTAAAAGTGAAGGTTTTCTCAAAAGGTATACATCATTAAAAGACGCTGTAAAACGTATTACAACAGATGAAGAATTATACGAGAATCCTTGAAGACTAAAATACATCAAGTTCTCTTTCACTCACAACGTCTATCGTGTGTTTCTGTACAGACACATTCAAGAAGTCATTCCATATATAAGAAGAGTGAAGGTGAAGAGTGTTCCTTTCTGTCTCTACCCCCACCCAACCCCACTCCATCCCCATTTCTCTCTCTGCCTCTTCCTTTCATGATTTTCCATTCGCACAAACAACATTGGAAAAGAAGGACTTTGGAATTAGTACATAGAGAAGTCAATTGAGGCTGAGAATATGCTAGAAAGGATGACCTTGCGTAAATACCAATACTGAATTCTGGTGCTGTTTTTCTTGCTTGTTATTTTTTTTTTGCCAATATTTGACAATTCCTCATTTCAAATTTTCATTGAACAAATACATAAATAATTAAATAATTAAACAAATAAGATATTCATAGAATAGATGTTTTATTAAATATAGTACTTACAAGCTTAAATTCAATTATAAATATATTTGCAAAATATACTACTGATATCATTATTATGCTTGTTGTCGGTAATATTGTTCCATTTCTGAGTTGAAATATCTTCAACATAACTCACAACGACACTTTAGATGTTTATTTTATTTATTTCAATTTCAGTTTAATTTTCTGCATGTGAGTGTGTGTGTTTGTGTGCGTGTGTGGATGTTCTTGTATTTGAGAAGAAATAGAATTTTTCAGAAAAGATTGAAAGATTAAAAAAATATATTGAAATATTATTTTTATCTCTAAAAATTTTGGTGAATTCTTACTATTTTACTGTTTGATTGGTTGGCGGATTTCATCATGAGGTGACATCAGTTAGAGAGTCATTGGAAAATCTACAGGGAGTACTGGACAGTTGTTCCGTCGGACTAGTTCGGGACTCTTCAGCAATAAGTATCCTTCCCGCCGCCAGGGTTTAAACGCAGCGCCTTCTGGTTACAAAGCAAGCTGGCTCGTAGACGATTAAGCCACACATGATATCTAACTTCTGCCAATTCATGCATGACATAGCGCGACCACTTCGCAGTATCTTCTTCGATGATGAGTTACTGCCTCACCTTCAACCTGCTGTACCTTACTGGTCACAGCTTCCCACTAGTACTCCAGGTCACTTAATGGTCTACGAGTTAGCTCTCCTTGTAACCAGAAGGTTCTGCATTCGAGCCCCAACAGTGAGTGCGCACTGTTGAAGAGTCACAAACTAGTCTGGAGAAACGACTGGCTGTCCTTGCAGGTTCCCCAATGATTCTCTAACTGATGAAATCCTCCAACCAATCAGACAAAATCCCTACAAAAAATCGATTTTTGAAAATATTGACAATTCGCTAATGAAGAAGATAAATAGATCTAGATTCATGTTTAGATTAGATGCGTTATTGTAAGGTCAACTTTACTAAACAATAATAAATAATAAAGAAAAGGTGATCTTAAGATTGATAAGGAATTGATTTCACACAGAGAATCATGGTATATCGTCAGTAAGTATCGAATATCTATTTGAGAATCTTCAGTACTATGCGTCCATGAATTCATCCTCTAGGGAACGAGGTGAGGACCTCCAGGTTACCAGGTGAGCTCGTAAACCATTCAGTCATTGGGATAAGAGTCCAATGGTCTAAAGATGATGACGTCTGCCAACTCTTGACGTATTGTGCAGCTACCAGCTGGAATTATCGGCTAATTATTATATTATTATTCCCTTGGGTTCCGGGTGGAACATAGGGATTCAACAATACATCTCCACTCTCTGCTATTTAGCGCTGTTCTCTTCAGCTGTCGGAGTCTACGATCTCCCGTAATCTCCCATCTCCCTCCTTCTCCCCTACACATGAGCTTCTCCATGGCACCCTCACACTGACACTCGAGCAATGGCTTGAGTTGGGCACGATGTCGTTCAACCGACGGCCTCCTCAGTGGCCGTTGAGTAATCGGCTCTTGCTTTGTTGCTTTGTTCATCGCCAGAGTTTCCTCTAATAATAATAATAATAACGACAATAGTCCAGTATTTTGTTACGGATTTACGCCCTGATAAACACAAAGTCCACTTCCTGTCATAGTGGACTTTCTTTTCATAATGAACACGAAAACTCATATGAAAGGAGATAATTCTATAATATAAATTATTTAGGAATGACATTACTAGGCATTTCACTGAATTCTGCCTGAATCTTCAAGTAAAGGCAGGTTAAACAACCTGTAATGCATAGAATGAACACAAACCATCCACATTTTTTACTCAGAAACCGCCTATCGAGTTTACTAAAGAAAACCTTTTTCGTGACTGAACTAAAACTAACCTTCTCTACGAAACCAATGATTTCCATGAGCGTGAACGTGAATAAACTACCAATATTGGTCACCTTCATTAATATGCGTCTACCAATGCACCTGCCCCACTCGTGGAGCTATGTATGTTGGCACAACTCAGCCTTTGCTATCCAAACGTCTCATCGAACACTTATCTACAGTCATGATTTCATAAAAGAGAAAAATGATCCCCTCCCCGCCACCACCACAGCGCTATTCTGGAACATCTGGTCGATCGAATCTGGACATCAACAAAACTCTCGAAAGAACTCCAGAGTTATATACAGGATACGTGGGAATCTCGCTAAAAGAGTGCGAATCAAACCTCTTCAAATGCAGCAGAAGCAGCAATGCTGCAAATTCACATGTTAAAAACTGAACTCTGCATACAAACGATGAAGTCTGTCCATTCATTAAATTTACAGTGAACCTAACTGACCTGTCTTAATAGTCGATGAGCCATTTTTTGTTTCGTTTTCCATCACTTGTTTATTTTTTTAATGATGTAATAGTTTCTTCCCCACCCTCACCTCCTAATGAATCTCTACCCTCTATTACCACTGTTGTTAAATTGACTGTTGTTCGAATTTTAGCTGAATTCTACTCAGTTACGTCAACTGGATTACGTCACTCAACTTGTTTATTTAATTTCACTTCATTTTCTACCGATTAACACTTTCTACATTACGTAATTTGCTGTGTAACGTTTACAATTCTAACGGCAAATCTTCAGAAAAATTCATCTTGTTGCTAAATAAATTTATATATATATATATATATATATATATATATATATGAATAAATCAAGAGCAACAACAGTGGTTTGTGCAGAATAAGAGCATGGTACTATCATCGTTTATTTCGTTGACTTCTAGTCAACTGCTGCTTACAGCCTAAATAAATTATGAGGTTTATGTAGAGAAAACTTTTGACATACTTGCAAATTCTACATGATGTCAGTAGACAGAACGTTCCGCAATTGGTGAACAGTGCTCAGAAAATTGCCCTTACATAGTTTTTACACAGGCAGTTCAAGTTTAAACAAAATTAAAGTATGCATACAGTGGTAAGGGAGTTACGTAATAAGGACTATAGATGCGTAAGATACTGAGTGACTAATAAATTAGGTAACAATGTACTGAGTTGAACTCAAATCATAGAAACAAAAGGCAAGCTAAATTAAACTATATCAAAGCAGCGGGGTAAAGTTTAAGCCAAAGATTAGGTAATCGAATGAAACAAAGAATAAAGACCTTCAGTTATCATGGCAAGGAAAGACTAATAACTGCTTTTTTCTGAACACATAAATCTGGTTTGAAGCGTTTGATATAAATTGTTTCGACAAACTTGAGGAGAATCGAGCTCCTTTGTCTAATGATAATTTTGAAGGATTTAGCGATTTTCACCTCATGACCCGTATCCAGGAGATGTCTGGTATTAGCGCTATTATAATAGTTTTCCCCTTGAGACGTAGGCTTTTCGGCACATGTTCAAAAAATCGGAGGTGTACCCTTCTTTCTGTTCTCCTAATGTATATATATATATATACGTGACTGAACAGCTTGAGAATGGTATCGCTGGAAATAATATGACTCTCCAATAACGCCAACCCAAACATCGACTTTACACTTGAGACTGAATCCGATGGAATATTCCACTTTCTCGATGCCCGTCTGACAAGAAACGCCAACAACTCTCTGGAAAGGTCCATATACAAAAAGCCTACATGGAATGGACAATTCATCAACTTTCAAAGCTTTGTGCCCCAAAGCAGAGGAACCTGATGTACGCTTTTTCCTCGAAAATTCGGAAGATATGTAGCGAGGAAGTTATTGAAGAAGAACTGTGTAATATTCGAAAAACCCTAATGGGAAACCGTTTCCCACTCAGGTTCATAAACAAGAATCTCAAATCTGAGAAAACTTCCAAACACGTCCAATCCGTTCCAAAGAAAATACTTCTGCTTAACCTAGAATTCAAAGGCAATATTGAAGCAGAAATCCTTCGCAAACGCATCTAAAAATCGCAGAGGAAAACATACTTCGCTGTGAGCCTACGACTGACGTTTTCCTGCAAGAAACTGTTCAGCCAGAACGCGAAAGACAAGCTGTCGCATTGGGCCACCTCAACGTGCATATACCAGTTTACTTCCTCTTGTGGAGCTGAGTACGTCTGCCATAACATGCGCAGACTTCAAAAACGCGCTTGTGAATACTATACAGCCTGGCTAGTAAAAGGAGATAGAAAACGTGTATACAGTTCAATGACAGAACATCTGGTCAACTCAGGACATTCAGCGCCTTTCGAAAAATCCTTCGAAATCATATACACGATTCGATCAAACCTATCAACGGAAGTAAAATCAAGACATCTGAGGCAGTGGTCATCCAAAGACTCAAGCCCACGCTTTGAATCGAAACGAAATACGTCCAGCCCTTATTCCTGACATGGCCATCATAAGCAGGCAATTCTTTTGATAGAGACTATCCGATTGCCTTTCTTATCCAAACTTCCTGTATATTCGTGTTATTTAAAGTTTTTCTTAATCCCTGTTTTTTTTCCTTCACGTTCCCCAGTCAAACATAGAGCTTCAAGCTATGTGCCTTGAAGTTTCTGTAGCAGTGTTTATTTTCCAGGATAGGGTTGCTAGCCTCATGCCCAACCTTTCCTCTTTACCAGGATTATTTCTGGCTTGGCGAGGTAAAGGAGTTCGTCGGCTGGGGATAGATCCCCGGACCATGTGCACGGTCGGTGAGCGTCCTAACCGCTGTGCCACCGACGCACTAATCCCTGTTTACACTTCCATATTTCCATACCTGAACTTCGTGTTTATTTTGTCATTTTACTATTTCTACATATTTAACCCCTGATTGCATAAACAATTATTCATCACATTAGTTTTTTTATCCAAACATCCTGTCTATTTTGTTATTTCTACATTTCTAACCCCGAATTGCACAATATGTCAATCTTCTCAGTAATTGTGGTGCTACTTTGTTTGAGTTTTATCTGTCCCGCTGTTTATGATGGCATTCTAATTCCTAATTGTAATTTTTATTAATTTGACCCTTAACCGGAAATTATTCTGGAAATTTCCCATCCATCTGATATAAATACACGGATGTACAGGCTAGATGATGACTTCGTCGAAAAAAAAATTTTTCTTCGCTGCAGCTGTCTTCTTAATAAATCCTATGACCCAATGTGTATGTTTCGTAATTTGACTCAATGAGGATTTCCAAGTTGATGAAAATATATGCTGAAGTTCTCCTAAGCAATCATCAGCTTTGAAGATATTCTTGTGGTCTTATTAAGATTATAAGGAATTTTCTATAGTTGGTTTTTAAGGATTAGTTTCGTTTAGCAAAAACATCATCGGCTGGCTCTACACTAATACATATCATGTTTTACATCAAAATTTTACCAATCAAGTGATTATTTTACGAGTTGATCACGGATTGATATCAG